GGTATAAACGCCACCATGGAGACCTCCCCCGCGTCGCATTCTGTGGAAGGGTCTCCGTCGCGCGAGACGACCAATCACGCTTATTCTTTGGGGCAGCCAGTTGGTGCGTGGGTTAATGAACGGCCCGGGGTTGACCATAGCCAAACGTAACGTCACATGCAAGCAGATCATTGACCAATGATCGACAGGGCTACGAGACGCCCGCGGCGCGCTCATCAGGGTACCCACCGAAGTCAGGTCGAACCACGGGGCAGTTTTCAAACCTTTCGAAAACGACAGATGCTCTGGCCGCCACGAACATGCCAAAGCATGCAACCGAACATTTGCACAGGCGGCCCGATGCGCGCAGGATGCGCTCCCTGATCGTTGATGCGGTCAAGATTGTACGGGGCCTTTTCGCGCGACATAGAGACCTACTCACATTTCGGAAACATGAAAGCACCCTTGTAATGAACAGTACTGGTTGAGAGCTTGACGATCCCAACTTACCTCGAGACGCCAATGGCTCAATCCGCCGACCACAGTCGACCGGGCTGGTTAGCCCAGCGCGCGCAGATAATTTACAGACGAATTCACCGCTGCACAACCGCCATCCACGAAAATGTCGGTGATTTGAATGTACCCTTACAACCGGGAGTGTCCAAGTTGCAAGAAGGACTATTGCAAGAAGCAGCGGGGCCATCTGCTGACATCAGGCAACTGCCGATTTGCCAGACCTTGGCGCTTGCCAGAGAACTGCGGGCAAGCCCCGCTGGCTGCCGCGGCGCTGGCGGACGGCGCGCCGGCGCCAGCGGCCGCTGCGCCAGCGGCGGCGCAAGCGCCGGTGGACGACTCGTCGACGATGCGCCATCGCCAGCAGGGGTTGCTCCAGAAATGCTACCTGCACGACAGGCCGTGGGGCTATGCGCAGCCGCGCGCGCCTTTATCTACGCGTAGGGACCCGGGGGGCCCGACTGGGTGCCAGCAGCTGCGATATGACGCGAGGTGCCCACGGACCTGACGGCAGTGGAGCTGGCAGGTCTGCTGCTGGCAGCTCTACTGGCCCACCGCGCGTCCTAAGGTGGTGTGGGCGCGAGCAGGGTGGTGCTGCGCCGCCTCTGCCTCGTCTTCTGGCCGGCGCATGGCCGCGTGTGAGACCGCTTGATTGGACCAGGCTTGACATCTCAGATAAGTCTCAACAAATTTGCGTAGCTTGACTTCGACCTCTGTCGTGAAAGAGCTGCGCGTACTCAACTTACGGCGGTGCCGCGCCTCTGGATGTTGTGCGTTTGAACGTGATAAAGGATGTAGGTGACTCGTGCCGTAAGTGTAGAGCTTGGGTGGTAACCAGGTAACGCGATCATACCATCGAGAAGCCTCCCAGGCATTCAATGAGGAAATCGACTGCGATTTGATGTATTACAAACAATACATCGTATTCCACAGCATCGACCGATGCATTCGCTGGGCAGCTGGCTAACATATAGCCGACAAAGCGGCGTTCGCCATCTGAACCTCCTATCATCAGTGCTGGATGCAAAGCGGCCCAGCAGCTGTGATGTTCTCTTTTGGAGGCGCCGTGAAGGGTGGCATCGTTAAAAGGTATCGTGAAGGCAGAAGGCGCGAAACTCCGCGTCCGCGCCAGAGGCCAGCGCGCCGCCGCCATTGAGGCGCGCAGCGGCATCCTAAGACGCGCCCTACATGCCAAGGAAGAAGAACCCAAACGTCACAACATTCTATTGGTGTTCCCACGCGTGCTGCACGGGGGCCCGTTTGTCTGTGGCGCGTTCACGTTCTACCACGGTGAATCGCCGTATCAGACAAAATGCAGCTGGCAACCGGCCTGCTTCCCGAATCGCCGGGACTGCGGCGAGGTCAGGCACCTCGAGACGCCGACGCTGTGGGCGCAGAAGGCGTTGGAGGGCGGCCGGTTCCAGCTGGCCATGGTCCCCGGGAAGGCAAACCCGGCGGACCTGGGGGCGAGGTTCATCGACCAGACGGCGATGCTCCAGGCGCTGAGGATGATGGGCGTCGAGCGCACAGACGCGCCGCTCGCGAGCGCCCTTCGGGCAAAGATCTGAAGCAGGCGCGCTGGTGGCCATTTTGGCCTGCAGTTTTCCGCCCCGCGTTTTCATTGCCTTGGACGGGCTACAGTCGCTAGCGCGGCGATGGCGGGCGCTTGTGAATTGCAGTGCCCATCCAACGTTGTGGTTCAGAGCGCTGTGCACTCTCGCGGAGCTTCGGAGCTTGAACGGGATTCGAGCGTCGTGCCTAGTTGAGGAGCTGGGCGGCACGAAGGGGGCTGCGGAAATCCAGAGGCCCCCAGAGGTTCGTCTCAAGAGAGTCTGTACGTCGACGTTTGGGCTCAACTCGTTAAGGCAAGCATCCGAAGAAAAGATCTCGCCATGTTAGCATTCACGCGCGAGTTGAACGTGTTTGGCCATCTGTCCTCTCCAGGTTGACGAAAGCTGGTAATCGACGGTTGCTTGCGTCAGTGGCCCCCTTGCTGCCGTGGTGGGCGTTTTTTTCGGTGCTGGTTGGCAGCCTCAGGCGGCTGCGCAGTGGCTTGAGCTTTTTCCCAGGGGGCATGGGCAGATTGGCGCATGCCCGCGTCGAGCCCCCAAACTTCGAAGCGGCTGGCTCTAAGATTTCCGAGCCAATGGATGAGCTGATGGAGGATTTTCGACGCTTGTTGATGTGGGTTCAGGCGTTTGCGCACGAAGCAGGAGATGACCTTCTTCGTTGCGCTGATCTTTACAAGGCTCGCCTGAAGCTGGGTGGATTCACCGAGGCTGGCGACCTGGGCCTTTTCTTCCTGAGCGCGCGCGTCGCGACAGGCGCGCAGTGGGCGAGGGTGCGACAATGCCCACTTGGCCCCCCGAGACAAGGAAGTGCCCTCGTTGCCAGGAGGGGGGGGAATTCTCTTGCGCGGGATTTGGTTGTGTAGATTCCGTTCAGGGGGGAAAATGCACACAGACACAATTACTCGTGCATTCCCCCGAAAATATGGGGAAATATGGGAAGTGGGGGGGGGGGGAAGACAAAAACCCAGACAATTGGGGAAGTTTTTTTTTTTTTTTTTTTTTTTTTTTTTTTTTTTTTTTTTTTTTTTTTTTTTTTTTTTTTTTTTTTTTTTTTTAAAAAAAAAAAAAAAAACCTCACTTTTTTTCACGGCCTCTTCATCCGTTCTTGTCATGCTGATTATAGTGAAAATGATTCCCTGGGTCCCAAAGGCCCTAGCGGGTTTAGAGGCCTGCCTGCTTTGTGGCTCAGAGCGGTCCCTCCTTCGGAGCTTGCTCATCCAGAGTTTTGCGACGTTTGCCTTGCGCTGTCAGGCCTTTCCTTGGGGCCCCAAAGTTTTCGTGCCTGCTCGGCCTCATAGGATTTCTCAAAGTTTTCGTGCCTGCTCGGTCTCGGTGGCTGCTCAGGAGTCTTCCTCCGATCCCAGGCGTCGTAGGTGCGGTTCCGCGTCTTTAGTCGCCAGGTGGGTCGTCCAGGATGGTCTTGGCTCTTGGGAGGTCCTTGGCGGATTTTTGGATGTCTGGAAAGGTCGCCGGTAGAGTGTGCCTCGATCTGAGCTCCAGGCTGTCGCCATTCCCCCTGAGCAGATTACGGGCCCCATTGCTTATGTTGCTGATCATCTTCCATGACTGACGGGCTGGGAACGGGGGGGGTCGGAACATCGTCGACTCTAATTCCGACGCTTGGTTGCGAATCAAGTCTGCCATTCATGGCAGAAGTGGGGGTTCGGCCCGAGTTGCGTGGACAGCTTCGCACATTTAGCGAGGGCAACCCCGAATTCGGTTCTTATGAGGCTGGCAATCGGCTGGCGGATGTAGCAGCGAGCAAGGCGACCCTGGCCTGGTGTCTGTGCTCGGTCGGCTCGGAACCCCCGACGTATTTCTGGGACTCCACAGCCGCTTTAGTGAAGCGGCGGGCTCGTCACGCTCTGGCCGATGCTGCTGCTGCCGACCCGCGCAAGGGCCCCTGGGACAAGGGTGGCGTTGGGCCCGACAGGGCCAGGAGAGGCTCCAAATTAGAGGTCGCCGTGTTGAGTTCCGCCCATCTCTTTGAAGTGGTGGGCAACATGTTCAGATGCCGACGCTGCGGCGCACTTGCGTCCAGGTCTTGTAAAGATTTGCCGATCCAGCTGCGATCGTGATGTTCTGGCATCGTTTTCCAGGGTTGTGGTCCTGCAGGTCCAAAGGCGCGTTGAGGTCCGAGGAACCCGTTTATTTTTCCCGCGCCCTGGCCCGCTGGGATTTGCATGATCTTATTTTTCTGCGTTAGATGTGGTGAAACCTGCCACCACCTAGGGCACGCAGCTTTCCGTCGAATGCCAGCCCATCGCCCGCAAAGGACGGGATAGTTGGTGGCGCATCAAGACGGGGCTCTTCTCCTCGTGTGCATGCACTTCGAGGCTGGCAGGGGAGATTGCCCATGCGCGCGTGGTGTCCGCTGCTGCGCATCGTGTTGAGGCGGAGCGACGGCCCGAAGCAACCCCGCCTCCTTTGGCGGCCCCTCCCCACCCTCCTTGTGGAGGGGGCGAACGGCTGGGGGGAGATGACCTTTAGGGTAGTCTCCACGGGTTCGGGCCTTTCTTTCGCTCCGTTTTTCTCTCCCCTCCCTTCCGTCCCCTTCAGCACGTTGCGCTTAACAAAGAGTCCCAAAGAGTCCCTCTCTTTTTCTCTCGCTGCCCCCCCTCCTGCTCGTCTCTTCCCCTAGCCGGCCTTCCTTGTCCCCTCTCGTGGTCGCGTCCCCGTCCCCGCCCCCGTCCCCTTCACCGTTTCGTGTCCGGTTTTTTGCTCCTGTCCCTACCGCTGCCCTGGTCCCCGTCCCTGCCCCGGTCCCCGTCCTTGCCCGCGTAGCCTTCCCACTGCGTCTGGGGGCTCCCAAGCGGTTCGTGCTACCTGCTCGGGGTGGCATCTACCTGCCTTGCCTGGAGTGGCATCGTTCACGCGCGCGTGCGTTCGCTCAGAGGTGGCTGTGCGAGTTATGGGGATTCCTCGCGCGCGCGACAGGTTACGCGGGCCCCGCCAGAGGGACCCCATCAGCACGCAGATGATGATGAGGACCTCCCGCGATGTATCCCTCTTCCGCACCTGTCCTCGCCAATATCGCCCTCCTCGCCTTCTTTGTCCTTCTTCGTATGTGCTCCTCATGTTTCCTTTACGCTTGCTCTGGTTAGCGCAAGTTGGCCTTTTGAGGGGTACCCCTCTCCGCCTCCTCCTCCGCCGCCTGTTGCTCTTCTCTGGCGCCCCCCCCTCCTCTCCACTGCTCCCGTCCCGCTCCCTGTTTGAGCTGTAGTCATGCACGGATCGATTTCGTGGGTGCGCCCCCACATTTGGCAGGGTCAGCAGGGTCACCAGGATGATGTAAAGCTGTACGCGTGGGTTTCGAATGCCCATGACGGAGCTGATCATGTATTCATGAAGCGGGGCGAGTGCCACTCCTGAGTGACAGTTACCCTGTATGATAACGGGGTGGGAAGGGAATTAAAGTTAACGGCGACTGTTTCTTAGTCTGGGCAGAAAGTGCCTTGGCTACAAATGCAAGTTTTGCTCCAGGTAGCTTCACATTCTTTCTGAATGTGCCCGCCGCATTTCTTCATTCGATGGGCGGTGTCGGCTGGGAAGCACTGCCTCCCTCCTCGTCTTCTTCCCCCCTCATCCCTCCTCCCCCCTCCGTTCCCTGACCCTTCCCCTCATTGCTGCTCCTCCTCTTTCCTGCAACCTCTCGGCCTGCCCTCTCTCGTCCATTGTCCCTCTTCTCTCTATTCCCCTCCCTTTTCCCCTCCCCGGCTGCTCCCTCACTTTCTTCTGCTCCTCCTCCTCCTCCTCCTCTGCCTTGTGGGAGTCCATCCGTTGGTTGAGCCTCCACAGGAGGGTTCGAGCTAAACGGTGTTTCTGCGATTTCGTGGACCGTTTTCCTGTTGGTTCCGTTTTGCAGGAAAGGCGGAACGAAGACAGAACGAGGAAACACGAAAACACAACGGACACGACGCACACGGTTTAGCTCGAGCCCAGTTGTCTTCCTCCTCGTGTGCTGTGCTGCTTTCTCCCGCTCCTGCCCACTTCCGCCCGCTCCCGTCCGATCCCCACCCTCTGGTACGTATTCTCCCTGTGCCTCGTGCCCGCTCCCCCCTCGTCGGGCCCTCGCCTTTCTTGGAGATTCCTGGGATTCTGTTGGGAACCACGGCTTTCGGCGGCGAGGAGGAGGGGGAGGAGGAGGAGGAGGAGGAGGAGGATGAGGAGGAGGAGGAGGAGGAGGAGGAGGAGGAGCAGGAGCAGGAGCAGGAGCAGGAGCAGGAGCAGGAGTAGGAGCAGGACGAGGAGGAGGAGGAGGAGGAGGAGGAGGAGGAGGAGGAGGAGGAGGAGGAAAAGGAGGCTTCCTGAGGCCGTCTTGTGGCTGACTGGGGCTCTTTGGGGTCGGGGGCCTCGGGAGGGCCTCTTGGGGGCTTCCTGCGGCCTCTGGGGGCCTCCTGGGGTTCTCTTGGGGTTCTCTTGGGGTTCTCTTGGGGTTCTCCTGGGGTTCTCTTGGGGGCATTGGTCGGCCACGCGCAGATGCGGGTAGAGGGAGGGGGGAAGGCTTCTTCGTCGCACCCCTGCTTCTTAGAAGGCGCGGGCCTTGTCTGTAGATATAAGGCCCTTGCCTTCTAAGAACCAGCCACCTTCTGAGAAGCCTTTCCCCCCCCTCCTCGCCTCTGCGCACCGCCAGCTTTCAGCGGCGAAGTCCAAACCCTACCCTCGTCGATCAACGATTCGGGCAACTCGATGGGCGGCGGGGGTAGGGTTCGGAATTCGTCGAAAGCGTGACGAAATCCGAACCCTGCCCCTGCCTCCCATCTATTCAGGAGAATCGAGGGTTGGTGGGGGTAGGGGGTCTCGGATGCCACCACCTAGGCTTGAGTGATAGAGGAGGCAGGCGGGAGGACGCGATGGAAACCGAGTAGAAGGAGGACCAGAGGGAGCCAGGATGAATCCACGATACTGCGGTGCTGCAGTACACCCTCTCTCAAGGCCGGAATGCCCTCCTTACAGTTCCCTGCAAGTAAGCAGCCATCGGCCAATCTAACGACGATCGTTCTGAAAGGGATCTCACCGCCATCATTGCAATTGTTGCTCAAGTACAAACTTTTAACCAGCGTGGACCCCAAACAGTGCGTCTTAGCACCTCGGAGGTGACTGCTATGTGGTTGACGCTGTGTAGTAAACACTATGTCGTGCAAGCCATGTGGTGGGAGGGATGGAGTTGCATACCATGCGGTGCACACTATGTGGTGTAAGCTACGTGGTTCTTATGCTCTTGATTCGTGCTACAATACATGTGAGTGCGTCTCGCGCGAAAGCCCGAGCACGGACAGAGGGGGGAGGAGAAGTGCGGAGGAGGCCGGAAGAGTTCGGAGGAATGGGAAGGAGTAGGGATGTTTCCAAAGGAGTGCGGAGGGAGGGGGAAGAATGCGGAGTGCTGGATAGAACTGGATAAAACTGATAGAACTGGTCATAGAACTGGTCATAGAACTGGTCCATTAAAAATAGGGTCCGGCCTAGAACTGGTCGGTCCAAATAAAGAAGATTTGAGAATATCAGTAATTCTTCTTCCAAATGCGACCAGTTCTAGGCCGGACCCTATTTTTAATGGGCCAGTTCTATGACCAGTTCTATGACCAGTTCTACCCAGTTGTACCAGTTCCGCGCCGTCGGAGGCAAACAGCACGGTGTGAGACGGAGTCGCAAGACTCGTCGGTGGAGCCCGGCGTCGGCCTCGTGATTTGAGCCAGGCGGTGGCGGGCCCCCAGACCCTGTCTCGAAGTGGCCATGTAGGTTGTCCCGTGGCTGTCCCGTGGGTAGTCCCACAATTGTCCCAGGGGCTGCCCCGTGGGTTGTCCCGTGGTGGTCCCGCGGGTTGTCCCATGGGTTGTCCCGCGGTGGTCCCGCGGGTCTCCCGTGGTTCCGTATACGCGCACATCGTCATCTAATTGCGTGTCGTGCTGGACGCATAAGCACGCACCAACACACAATTAAATGCACGCACACATGTAAGCACGATAACACCATGAAACCACCAAACACATCTAACCCGGACGGTGCCCGGACAAAACGTGTCCACACCCAGGGCGGCAAGACACTGCGACGTGAGAACAACCGCAACAGCATGATGCACTTGCCTCGCACCCCTCCCCCCCAAACCCAAAGTTGAAGTGTCCACATTTTGTCCCTGGCGCGCGGCCTGCCGCGTAACCCCGCCAACTTTGAGTTGGGGGAAAGGGGGGTATACATATTCGTTCGACGTGATTTGACGACGAATTGTCTTGGTGCGACAAGCGTGGACACTTTTTGTCCGCCCACCGTCTGGCGCGTAAGCTATCTGGCATGAGCTGGAGTTGAACGGTCTGGGGTGTATAAGCTATGTAATGCGTAAGCTATGCTGTGTGGGCTGTGCGCTGTGAGCTACATGGGACGCCCACGATCCGCGCACGAGACGGGGCGGGCGGCAACGCGGCGCAACCTCGACATGCGCGGGATGCCCACGGCGGCATGGGCCCGCAACGCGGCGAAAACTACGAGTACCCAGCCAACGAGTTGACGAAACGAAGTAGGAACCAATAAGTGCAAGCACTGTTTGGGGATTCATTCCCTAAACAGTGCTTGCACTGAGGGGGTCGTACTTGTCATCTCAGGAACTTGGCTGGTGTTGTGGTCTGGCGGTTATGAAGTCGCAATCGCCGCCGCGTCGCCGCCTGGTCGCCGCCCGTCGCCTGGGCTGGAGTAGCGCTTTGGCGCCTATGTAGTCGCCGTTGCCGACCCGTCGGCGCCTCGTCACCGCCCGTCGTCTGGGCCAGTGTGGCGGTCTGGCGGCTATGTCGTCGCCGTCGCCGGCTAAAAAGAGAATAGACTCTACCCCCCCTCCAGCGTTCGCCGCCTCCCTTTCGGGCATGTAAATCATTTATGATTCTGACCACATGTCCATCCTAAATCTTAATTTGCAATGTCAAAATGGAACCGGTATCGGTTCCCCTGAGGTTTCTTCGTAAAAACGGTACGCGGGGACATTCTTTGTTCTAACATAACACTTTTTCGCGAATCCCTTGCAAACAAATGGGACGAAGTGCGCACGCGCGCGTCGTCGCGCGCGCATGCCGAAATCCTTGAAACACCTTCGGTTTCGGAAGGATTTCGCAAACGAGTTTCCCAAAAACCATACATAAGCAGGGTTTCGCAACACTGATTTGCTAAAAAAACTTACGCGCGAGCTCTTGCGACATCTTATGAAAACCATGGTTTTTTTCAAGATTTTCACAAAATGCTACCAAACGGGCTTTTCGCGCGCATGTCGAAATCTGTTGAACGCCCTTGCGCGTGTGCCGTCGCGAGAATCCTCGGCAAAAAATGGGACGAAGTGCAGACGCGCGCGTCGTCGCGCGCGTATGCCGAAATCCTTCAAAACCCATCGGTTTCGGAAGGATTTCAAAATCGTGTGTCCAACAATCATACAAAAACACAAGGTTTCGCAACACGGATTTTCAACAAGAGCGTGCGCGCGTGCTCTTGCGTCGTCGTCGTCGTCGTCGTCGCCGCCGTTCTCCCTCCTCCCGCGTCGTCGTCGTCGTCGCCTACGTTGTCCTTTGTTTTTCCTCGTGTTCGTCGTCGTCGTCCTCTTTGGCGTCGTGGTCGTTTCCGTCGTCGTTGTCGCCGTGGTCGTCCTTCCTCCTCCTCCCTCGTCGTGTTCGTCGTTGACGTCGGCGTCTCGTCGTCGTCCCTTCTATTTCGTCGCCGCCGTCGTCGTCGTCGTCGTCGTCGTCGTCGTCGTCGTCGTCGTCGTCTTCCCTCCCCCCTCGTCGTTGTCGTCGTTGGCGTCGCCGTCCTTCCTCCTTCTTCGTCGTTCGCGTCGTCTCCGTCCTCCCTCCTCCCTCGTCGTTGTCGTCGTTGTCGTCGTTGTCGTCGTTGTCGCCGTCGTCGTCCTCCCTCCTCACTCGTCGTCGTCTTCGTTGGCGACGTCGTCGTCGTCTTCGTCGTCGTCGTCGGCGTCGGCGTCGTCGTCGTCTTCGTCGTCGTCGACGTCGGCGTCGTCGTCGTCGCCGCCGTCGTCGTCGTCGTCGTCGTCGTCGTCGTCGTCGTCGTCGTTGACGTCGTTGTCGTCGTCGTCGGTGTCGTCGTTGTCGTCGTCGGCGTCGTCATCGTCGTCATCGACGTCGTCGTCGTCGTCGTCGTCGGCGTCGGCGTCGGCGTCGTCGTCGTCGTCGGTGACGTCGTCGTCGTCGTCGTCGTCGTCGTCGTTGTCGTCGTCGTCAAAGTCGTCGGAGACGTCGTCGGTGTCGTCGTAGTCGTTGTCGTCGGTGTCGTTGTAGTAGGTCTTAAGAGTTTATGCAAACCAAGTTGCGGGCGGGTGGGTGGGATGTTTGCAAGGGCATGGGGTGTGTCAAATCATGGGTAAAATCAATTGCAGTACATATATTGCACTTTATAGGTTGCACTACACCCTACCGCCTTCCAGCGTGGTAGGGCCTGGGGAGGTTGCTATCTCCAGCTGGTTTGACAATCGCCTGTCATTCCTTGCTTCCTCTCCTCCTCCTTCCCCCCTCGTCCCGAGTCCAGGGATATTGCAGGTTTTTGGTTTCTTCGCCCCGCGATCGACTTCGATCGGCGGTGTTTCGGCCACGCTCGCAGGACAGCCTGTTGTGCAGGCCTGCTGCGCGGCGGTTTCGGCGATATCTCTGCATTCGCCTCGTGCTTCATCTTCCATGTCCGTGTTGTGGGATAGCCCCCTTGAAGGGCAGTGGATTCTACCTCCTGCCTTGCTTTGCTGATGAACAACTTTCTAGGTTGCACGACACAGACTACAAAACATATGTCGCACCAAAACATTGCACCTCCTATATTCCCCTGCGATCGCATTCATAGTATATTTATTACTACTGATAGGAATAATAGTACTAGGCAGAAAAAGAGGGGAGGAGGAGGAGGAGGAGGAGGAGGAGGAGGAGGAGGAGGAGGAGGAGGAGGAGGAGAAGGCGGAGGAAAAGGAGGAGGCGCAGGAAAAGGAGGAAAGAGTTGGCGGGAGGAAGGACTACGAGGGAGGAGGAGGAGGAGGAGGAACGGAGGGAGAGGAGGGGGAGGGAGGGAGGCGGCAGGAGGAGGGAGGGAGGAGGGGTTCAGAAGGAGGAAGGGAAGGAGGGGGCTCGGAGAGATTGGTGACTCATCGCGCAGGCCGCTGCCCAATGGGGTCCCGGCGGCCTCGTCGGCGACGTGGAGAAGACGTGCCCGGAGGCGGGCGAACGGCGGCATCTTTCCTACCTTCCTTTCCTCCCTCCTCCCTCCTCTTCCTCTCTCCTTCTCCCTCCTCCCCCCTTCCCTCCTCCTCCTCATCCTCCTCCTCCCTCCTCCCTCCTCCCCGCTCCCTCCTACCTCCCCCGTCCTTCCCGCCTCCTCATCTTTCCTCCTCGCTCCTCCTCATTCTTCTCCCTCTTCCCTCCCTGCTCGAGCAGGGGTGGTGGCACGTCTCCCTTCCTGCGCGCGAGCTCGTCGGACGACGCGGATGGAGGAAGCCTCTTCCTCTCTCCTCTCTGTCCCTCCCTCTCTCCCTCCCTTCGTATCCTCCACCTCCTCTTCCGTCCGTTCTCCTCCTCCTCCTTCCTCTTTCTCTTTCCTGCATCTCCCTCCCCGTTCTCTCCTCCCTCCTCCCTCCTCCCTCCTCCCTTTTTCCTCGCTCCTCCCTCCTCCCTCCTCGTCCCCTCCCTCCTCCCTTCCCTCTTCCTCTGTCCCGTCCTCCTCCTCCTCTTCCTCCTTCTTCTCTTCCTCCTCCCCCCTCCCTCCTCCTCCGTTCTCCCTCCTCCTTCCCTTTCTCCGTCGCTCCCTCCCTCCCTTCCTCCTCCCTTCTACTCCTTCTCCTCCTCCCTCCCTTCCTCGGTGTTCGGGGTGTTTGTGCCTGTGCTGTATATGTGCTTAGATTGGTGTGCTAGTTCTGGTAGATTCCCCCATCCCTGGAAAAATAATACAACTTTTGCAGGTCGTGTCGAAGAATCGCCGGTGGGACATTCCTGGGGGTAGTTTTTCATCCTGGGTCCGCTTCTGCAGGTTCTGGGTCTCGAGAACGGCCCCCGGAGGCCAATGACCCGGTGACGTACCCAAACCTTTCTACATGTATGGCGAATATGTTTAGCACCGTTCACCACAAACAAACATGTTGAAGGACTCGCAGTGCGCAGGAGCTCCCAGAAGTAAATATCATCAACACGCAGGACTGGCAAGATAGGCACGCGGACGTAAGCATTCAGAGGAGGAATGGGGGGACATACATGTTCAATGACAGTAATAGCGCTGCGCGCTAGAAACGCGGCACAGAGCAGCGCCATGCGCTCTAAAGTCAAACGGCGCGTCGCGCTAAGCGAGGCGCGGGGCGCAGGAGCCCGCGGAAGTGGCGACAGCCTCACACTTCGCAGCCCCCCAGGGAGCCGCGAGGTCTCGTCTGGACTCTCCGTGCAACTCCGCTCCGCGCGACCTCCGGGGAGCCCGCGGAAGTGGCGACAGCTTCACACTTCGCAGCCCCCCAGGGAGCCGCGAGGTCTCGTCTGGACTCTCTGTGTTACTCCGCTCCGCGCGACCTCCGGGGAGCCCGTGGAAGTGGCGACAGCTTCACACTTCGCAGCCCCCCAGGGAGCCGCGAGGTCTCGTCTGGACTCTCCGTGCAACTCCGCTCCGCGCGACCTCCGGGGAGCCCGCGGAAGTGGCGACAGCTTCACACTTCGCAGCCCCCCAGGGAGCCGCGAGGTCTCGTCTGGACTCTCCGTGCAACTCCGCTCCGCGCGACCTCCGGGGAGCCCACGGAAGTGGCGACAGCTTCACACTTCGCAGCCCCCCAGCCGAGCCGCGAGGCCTCGCCTGGACTCTCCGCGCAACTCCGCTCCGCGCGACCTCCGGGGAGCCCGCGGAAGTGGCGACAGCTTAACGCTTCGCAGCCCCCCAGGGAGCCGCGAGGTCTCGTCTGGACTCTCCGTGCAACTCCGCTCCGCGCGACCTCCGGGGAGCCCGCGGAAGTGGCGACAGCTTCACACTTCGCAGCCCCCCAGGGAGCCGCGAGGACTCAACTGGATTCTCCGTGCAACTCCGCTCCGCGCGATCTCCGGGGAGCCCGCGGAAGTGACGACAGCTTCACACTTCGAAGCCCCCCAGGGAGCCGCGAGGTCTCGTCTGGACTCTCCGTGTTACTCCGCTCCGCGCGACCTCCGGGGAGCCAGCGACAGTGGCGACAGCTTCACACTTCGCAGCCCCCCAGGGAGCCGCGAGGTCTCGTCTGGACTCTCCGTGTTACTCCGCTCCGCGCGACCTCCGGGGAGCCCACGGAAGTGGCGACAGCTTCACACTTCGCAGCCCCCCAGGGAGCCGCCAGGTCTCGTCTGGATTCTCCGTGGAACTCCGCTCCGCGCGACCTCCGGGGAGCCCACGGAAGTGGCGACAGCCTCAAACTTCGCAGCCCCCCAGGGAGCCGCGAGGTCTCGTCTGGACTCTCCGCGCAACTCCGCTCCGCGCGACCTCCGGGGAGCCCGCGGAAGTGGTCACACTGCGCAACCCCCCAGGGAGCCGCGAGGTCTCAACTGGATTCTCCGTGCAACTCCGCTCCGCGCGACCTCCGTGGAGCCCGCGGAAGTGGCGACAGCTTCACACTTTGCAGCCCCCCAGGGAGCCGCGAGGTCTCGTCTGGACTCTCCGTGCAACTCCGCTCCGCGCGACCTCCGGGGAGCCCACGGAAGTGGTGACAGCTTCACACTGCGCAACCCCCCAGGGAGCCGCGAGGTCTCAACTGGATTCTCCGTGTAACTCCGCTCTGCGCGACCTCCGGGGAGCCCGCGGAAGTGGCGACAGCTTCACACTTCGCAGCCCCCCAGGGAGCCGCGAGGTCTCATCTGGATTCTCCGTGTAACGCCGCTCCGCGCGACCTCCGGGGAGCCCGCGGAAGTGGCGACAGCCTCACACTTCGCAAGCCGGGAGGTCTCGTCTGGATTCTCCGTGCAACTCCGCTCCGCGCGACCTCCGGGGAGCCCACGGAAATGGCGACAGCTTCACACTGCGCAGCCCCCCAGGGAGCCGCGAGGTCTCAACTGGATTCTCCGTGCAACTCCGCTCCGCGCGACCTCTGGGGAGCCCGCGGAAGTGGCGACAGCTTCACACTTCGCAGCCCCCCCCCAGACAGCCGCGAGGTCTCATTTAGATTCTCCGTGCAACTCCGCTCTGCGCGACCTCTGGGGAGCCCGCGGAAGTGGCGACAGCTTCACACTTCGCAGCCCCCCAGGGAGCCGCGAGGTCTCGTCTGGATTCTCTGTGTAACTCCGCTCCGCGCGACCTCCGGGGAGCCCGCGGAAGTGGCGACAGACAGCTTCACACTTCGCAGCCCCCCAGGGAGACGCGAGGTCTCATCTGGATTCTCCGTGCAACTCCGCTCTGCGCGACCTCCGGGGAGCCCGCGGAAGTGGCGACAGCCTCACACTTCGCAGCCCCCCAGGGAGCCGCGAGGTCTCATCTGGATTCTCCGTGCAACTCCGCTCCGCGCGACCTCCGGGGAGCCCGCGGAAGTGGCGACAGCTTCACACTTTGCAGCCCCCCAGGGAGCCGCGAGGCCTCAACTGGATTCTCCGTGCACCTCCGCTCCGCGCGGCCTCCGGGGAGCCCGCGGAAGTGGCGACAGCTTCACACTTCGCAGCCCCCTAGGGAGCCGCGAGGTCTCATCTGGATTCTCCGTGTAACTCCGCTCGGCGGGACCTGCCTACGGAAGTGGCGACAGCTTCACACTTCGCAGCCCCCCAGGGAGCCGCGAGGCCTCAACTGGATTCTCCGTGCAACTCCGCTCCGCGCGACCTCCGGGGAGCCCGCGGAAGTGGCGACAGCTTCACACTTCGCAGCCCCCCCCCAGACAGCCGCGAGGTCTCATCTGGATTCTCCGTGTAACTCCGCTCTGCGCGACCTCGGGGGAGCCCGCGGAAGTGGCGACAGCTTCACACTTCGCAGCCCCCCAGGGAGCCGCGAGGCCTCAAAGGGATTCTCCGTGTAACTCCGCTCCGCGCGACCTCCGGGGAGCCCACGGAAGTGGCGACAGCTTCACCCTTTGCAGCCCCCCAGGGAGCCGCGAGGTCTCGTCTGGATTCTCCGTGCAACTCCGCTCCGCGCGACCTCTGGGGAGCCCGCGGAAGTGGCGACAGCTTCACATTTCGCAGCTCCCCAGGGAGCCGCGAGGTCTCAACTGGATCCCCGTGTAACTCCACTCCGCGCGACCTCCGAGGAGCCCACGAAAGTAGCCGCGAGGTCTCAACAGGATCCTCGTTCAACTCCGCTTCGCGCGACCTCCGGTGAGCCCGCGGAAGTGGCGATAGCTTCGCACTTTGCAGCCCCTTAGGGAGCCGCGAGGCCTCAACCGGATTCTCCGTGCAACTCCGCTCCGCGCGACCTCTGGGGAGCCAGCGACAGTGGCGACAGCTTCACACTTCGCAGCTCCCCAGGGAGCCGCGAGATCTCATCTTGATCCCCGTGTAACGCCGCTCCGCGCGACCTCCCAGGAGCCCACGACCGCGGCGACAGCTTCACACTTCGCAGCCCCCCAGGGAGCCGCGAGGTCTCAACTGAATCTCCACCCACGAACGTGGCGACAGCTTCACGCTTCGCAGCCCCCCCAGGGAGCTGCGAGGTCTCAGCTGGATCCCCGTGCAACTCCACTCCGCGCACGTAGCTTCAGCACGTAGCTTCAGTTTCACCCTTCGCAGCTCCCCAGGGAGCCGCGAGGTCTCAACTGGATCCCCGTGTAACTCCACTCCGCGCGGCCTCCCAGGAGCCCACGGAGTGGCGACAGTTTCGCACTTCGCGGCCCCCCCAAGGAACCGCGAGGTCTCAACTGGATCCCCGTGTAACTCCACTCCGCGCGACCTCCCATGCGCCCACGGAAGTGGCGACAGCTTCGACACTTCGCAGCCCCCCAGGCAGCCGCGAGGTCTCAGCTTGATCCCTGTGTAACTCCACTCCGCGCGACCTCCCAGGAGCCAACGAAGGCGGCGACAGTTTTACACGTCGCAGCCCCCCAGGGAGCCGCGATGTCTCAACTGAATCTCCGTGTAACTCCACTCCGCGCGACCTCCCATGAGCCCACGAAAGTGGGGACAGTTTCAAATTTCGCAGCCCCCCAGGGCGCCGCGAGGTCTCCATTGGATCCCCGTGTAACTCCACTCCGCGCGACCTCCCATGCGCCCACGGAAGTGGCAACAGCTTCACACTTCGCAGCCCCCCAGGGAGCCGCGAGGTCTCAGCTGGATCCCCGTGTAGATCCACACCGCGCGACCTCCGGGGAGCCCTCGGAAGTGGCGACGGTTTCACACCTCGCAGCCCCCCAGGCAGCCGCGATGTCTCAACTGAATCTCCGTGTAACTCCACTCCGCGCGACCTTCCAGGAGCCAACGAAGGCGGCGACAGTTTTACACGTCGCACCCCCCCAGGGAGCTGCGAGGTCTCAACTGGATCCACGTGTAACTCCACTCCGCGCGACCTCCCATGAGCCCACGGAAGTGGCGACAGTTTCACACGTCGCAGCCCCCCAGGGAGCACTGGATCCACGTGTAACTCCACTCCGCGCGACCTTCCAGGAGCCCACGAAAGTGGCGACAGTTTCACACGTCGCAGCCCCCCAAGGAGCCGCGAATCCCCGTGTAACTCCACTCCGCGCGACCTCCCATAAGCCCACCAGAGTGGCGACAGCTTCAAACTTCGCCGCCCCCCAGGGAGCCACGAGGTCTCAACTGGATCCCGTGTAACTCCACTCCGCGCGCCCTTCCATGAGCCCACGAAAGTGGCGACGGTGTCACACCTCGCAGCCCCCCAGGGAGCTTCGAGGTCTCAGCTGGACCCCCGTGTAGATCCACTCCGCGCGACATTCCAGGAGCCCACGGAGTGGCGACAGCTTCACACTTCGCAGCCCCCCCCAGGGAGCCGCGAGGTCTCGTCTGGATTCTCCGTGTAACTCCACTCCGCGCGACCTCCCATGAGCCCACGAAAGTGGCGACAGCTTTGACACTTCGCAGCCCCCCAGGCAGCCGCGAGGTCTCAGCTTGATCCCAGTGTAACTCCACTCCGCGCGACCTTCCAGGAGCCCACGAAAGTGGCGACAGTTTCACACGTCGCAGCCCCCCAAGGAGCTGCGAATCCCCGTGTAACTCCACTCCGCGCGACCTCCCATAAGCCCACCAGAGTGGCGACAGCCTCAAACTTCGCAGCCCCCCAGGGAGCCACGAGGTCTCAACTGGATCCCCATGTAACTCCACTCCGCGCGACCTCCAAGGAGCCCACGACAGTGGCGACAGTTTCACACGTCGCAGCCCCCCAGGGAGCCGCGAGGTCTCAACTGGATCCCCGTGTAACTCCACTCCGCGCGACCTCCCATGAGCCCACGAAAGTGGCGACGGTTTCACACCTCGCAGCCCCCCAGGGAGCTTCGAGGTCTCAGCTGGATCCCCGTGTAGATCCACTGCGCGCGACCTCCCAGGAGCCCACGGAGTGGCGACAGTTTCGCACTTCGCAGCCCCCCCAGGGAGCCGCGAGGTCTCAACTGAATCTCCGTGTAACTCCACTCCGCGCGACCTCCCATGAGCCCACGAAAGTGGGGACAGTTTCAAATTTCGCAGCCCCCCCCAGGGAGCCGCGAGGTCTCGTCTGGATCCCCGTGTAATTCCACTCCGCGCGACCTCCCAGGAGCCCACGACAGTGGCAACCGTTTCACATTTTGCAGCCCCCCAGGGAGCCGCGAGGTCTCAACAGGGCTGCGGCGCAAGCAGGACGCAGGAGAGATGCGAGGAGGAAGAGAAGAACGAGGAGAAAGGATGAAGCCGCGCGGTCCGCCCAGGAGCCCACGAGAGAGGCAGACTCAGGCGAGAGGCGATAGGAGCCAGGAGAGATGGGGGAGGGGAAGGAAGGAGAAGACGCGACCACAGTGCTCTATTCCAATCGAGAATCCAACACAGGAGGGTTGGGAAACAATGACGGCACATCGAAGACGACGAACGGCAAAGTTGCCTTACTTTTCTAGGGCAGTGTAGGACACGTGGGTTCTCCACGTATCGGTGGCGAGCCTGAGAGGGGCGGGCCTTCCCAGATTTCTGGCCGTCTGCGAAGTTTTCTAAGCCTTCTCCAAAGACAGAGGCGGCTTCTCAGGAGGCCGCGGGGCTTCTGAGAATCGCCGCCGCTTTCTGACAAGGCCTTCCCTCTCTCACTCCCCCCCGGGCTCGCCGCCAGCCGTGGGTTCGGTAGCAAAGCATGGGAGCCTTGTATGTTCTCGTAATTCCGCTTTCAGACTGCATTAGCGTGCGCTAGCGTCTGGATTCCGATGGGAAAGCGCCAATTTTGCGTCGACTGGCTCCGATTCGCGTCGACTAGGCGTCAATTCGCAAGAGCCAACAAGATGGCATGAAAGGGCCACAGACCGTGGGCCTTGGCGTCGCACGCGGCGTTGCGCCCGGCGTCGGGGGCGGAGGCGGAGGCACCGGGGCGGCGCCGTGCCTGGGCGCTGCGGGCATCGTGAGCCCGCGGGCGCCGCCGCTGCGGCGCAGCGCACGGGCACCTCTCTGCGCCCCCCCCGGGGCCCGCGTGCCGCGAATCTCAGTCTGGTGTCTTGGCTCTCCGACTCCTCCTGCTGGCGGAGTCGCAAAGCGAGTCGGATGCTTCTCTCGGCGCCGCGCTGCGTGCCACACCATCGCGCCCGGCCCGGGCGCAGCCGTGAATCGGTCAAGGGCCCTGCAAGGCCCGCTGAGCCAAACGGCGGCGGGCGGCGGACCTTCAGAAGGCTCTCCAGAGGTCCTCAAGCATTCAGCCCCAGGCTGGGCCCTATCGCGCAGCCCCTGATGGGCCTATACAACAGGCGGCCCCTGGCGGGCTGGCAGGCCTATGCATGCCTTCTCAGGAAGCCTGAGGAACTCAGAGGAGGACGAACGTGTAGGGGGCATAGGATGGGAGATGGTAGGAAGGCACGCACTCTGTCACCTGCTCCTCCCTCCTCCTCCTCCTCCTCCTCCTCCTCCTCCTCCTCCTCGGCTCGGGCTTTGGCCGAAGGGCGCCGACGCCTTCTCTGTCGTCGGGGTGCCTGGGCCAGGGCCCTCGTACGGTGATGAGGTCGCCTGGCCTCCAGAGGGCAGACCTTTCAGGTGGGATCCTGCCTCCTCCTCTTCTTCGTCCTCTCCCCTCTTCTTCCCTCCCATCTATCCTGCTGCCCCTTCCTCACCATTCCCCTCCTCCTGCCTCCTCCTCCCTTCTCCTCCTCCCTTCTCACTCAAAGCGTGTCAGCAGAGCGGGCTGGGCGTTTCGTTTCGTCTGAAACGTCCGCACCATTCATGATCTTGAAGCTGGAGCTTTGCAACGGTTACACTGATGGGGTCGTGGTGGTCGTTTTCAAAATCGGACTCTCGCCTCAGCGCCGCGCGCATTCGCCTCAAACGCTTGCAGCTGTGTCAAGGATGGCAAGGGGGGCCCGTTTTCAGAACGTAGCTCCCACCTTGGCCCGTGCGCACATGTTTTGGAACATCTGCAACAACTTCAACTATGAAAAGGACGTCGCTCTCAAAAGGGAGCCCTCGCCTTGGCGCCGCGACCATTCGTTTCTTGAGAGGTTTGCAGTACGGATGTAGGGTATTTTCCTTTCAGCGTGGGGGCTGTCGCCTTCGCGCCGCTCACCTTTGTTCTCAGAGCCTGCAGCCGCGCTAAGCACGGGTTTCCCAGTTGGGGCTCTCGCATTCGCGCCGCGCACACATGTCCTAAACGTATGCTTGAGGTACAGCCAAGACGCTGAACTAAGGAACAGTTTTGGTTCGGAACGGGCTCGATGTTCGTTAGGTTCTTTCTTGGCTGCTCCTCTAGCCCTCCTCGTACACACGGGCTCTCCTGGTGCCCCTAAGGGGCTTCGTTCCTTATTCAGAGTTTCTTCTTTCGGCAGCACTACTGTACAACGATGCTGGACGGCTCGTACAACACGGGGCCCTCGCTTGAGACTTCCCTGGGCTTGCAGGTCAGACACCTTACATCTGTAGCAGCTGCGCGGAGGGACGGTGGCTTCTTTTCAGAATGGAGCTCTCGCTCGAGACCGCCTCGAAGCCCGTGATCGGAAGTGTACGACTAATCAGCAGTCATGCACATGGAGCGCGGTCGGCGGTCCTTCTTCGAAACAGGGATCTCGCTGGACACACCAGCGAACTGCATGCTCATATGTTTTCGTACTCCTTTTTGTTCGCTAGGGTGGAGAGCAGTTCCTCTCAAAGCGTGGATGGCGCCCGAATGGTAGGCTCATCGGGTGCGCTGGTCTTTCAATGGGGGGGCCTCTTGCAGTGAAAAGAGGGCCTGGAGGGACGTCTGGGAGGGGACCTGCGACGGGAGGTTGCGTTGTATAGCATCGTTGGTACATCTCTTGTTTGTTCTGGCCTTCGTCCTCGTCGTCCTCCTCCTCTTCCTTTCCCTTTCTCTGGAGGCCTCCGAGGTCTTCGGAAGTCCCCAGAGGCTTCTTCGGAGACCCGTGGAGGCCTCCAGAGAGCCCGGATGGCCAAGAAGGGCAACACAGTTGCAAGCCTGTTGACCCTCGATTTCCCCCCTCCCTTTCTCCTCCCTCCTCCTCGGTCTGTGCCGCTAGGTGGGCATGGACCTGCAGGACACGTGTCCAGAGCTGGCCGACCAGAATCAGGACCGCCGCCGGACGGGGTGCAATGGGCAGGCCAGCTTCCGAGACGGGGAGTATGGCATGACTTTTGCGGGGTGCCTTACATTCAGCATCATAATCCTCAGCACAAGCATCAACATCCGTATCTTTCTCCTTGTCCTTCTCCTTCTCCTCCTCTCCTCCTGCTCATCATCACCATCATCATCCTCATCTTCGTCGTCGTCTTTGTCGTTGTAGTCGTCGTCGTCTTCGTCGTTTCCGTCGTCATCATCATCGCCTCATCATCACCATTATCATCGTCATCATCATGATCAACATGATGATTATGACGATACTGATTATGATGATAATGATGATGATGATGATGATGATGATGATGATGATGACGATGAGGATGAGGATGATGATCAGCATCGTCTCTTCATCATCATCATCACCATCATCAGCATTACCATCACCATCACCATCACCGTCACCATCATCACCATCATCACCACCACCACCAAAAAGCAACACCACCATCATCATTACCATCACCACCATCATCACCATCATCATCATCATCATCATCATCATCATCACCATCACCATCATCACCATCATCACCATCACCATCACCATCACCATCACCATCGCCATCATCATACACTTCATCATCATAACCATCATCATTATCCTCATCATCATCATCATCATCGTCATCATCATCATCATCGCCACCATCATATCAGCATCATCATTACCATTGTCGTCATCGTCATCGTCATCGTCATCGTCATCGTAATCGTCATCGTCATTGCCATCACCATCGTCATCGTCATCGTCATCGTCATCGTGATCGCCATCGTCATCGTCATCGTCATCGTCATCGTCATCGCAATCGTCATCGTCATTGCCATCGCCATCGTCATCGTCATCGTCATCGTCATCGTGATCGCCATCGTCATCGTCATCGTCATCGGCATCGTTATCGTACATCACCACCACCACCATCACCATCACCACCACCATCACCACCACCATCACCATCACCATCACCGTCACCATCACCATCACCATCACCATCACCATCACCATCACCGTCACCATCACCGTCACCGTCACCATCACCATCACCATCACCATCACCATCACCATCACCATCACCATCACCATCACCATCACCGTCACCGTCACCATCACCATCACCGTCACCATCACCATCACCATCACCATCACCATCACCATCACCATCACCATCACCATCACCATCACCATCACCATCACCATCACCATCACCATCACCATCACCATCACCATCACCACACCATCGTCATCATCACCACCATCATCAGCATCGCCAACATCATCATCATCGTGGGCGGGCTACATCTCCATGTCTGTAGAGTTGCCCCTTCCTCATCTTCCCTCCCCCTTCTGCCTCCCCCCTCTCCGTCTCGTCCGGGTTGAGAACCGCGTGCATCGTTGCGTATTTCCACATGAGTTCATGCTCCACATCGATGGTCTGGCTGGTGGTCTGACTGTTCACCCGTGCGCTGCAAAGGGCCGAGCAGCCGTCAGGCCTGCTTGCGTGGCTCGCTCGGCCGGTTGTCATCGGTGCGACTGGGCGGTCGGGTTTTGGGGATGGGGGGAAGGGAAGGCTGCGCTGGCAGGCAGGCGGGAGCACGAGCAGCTGGAGCCGCAGCCGTTTACCTCCCTGAGCGGAGACCCAGAGTTGCACTTCTGAAGGGAGGAGGGGAGGGGTGCGGCGGAAGAGGGGTCGGAGGGCCCAGGACGTTTACTCGGAGATTCGAACTGGGGAGTTTGCTATATACTTGCTGTTTTTGTTCTCCCCCTCCCCCCCTCCCCCCTCTCATG